CAGAGCTGGGACAGGGCAAGTGGTCTCTGACAGAGCTTGTTGCTCCACAGAACTTCTCTCACAGCTCACGGCCCCTAGGGAATCATCTCTCAAGGTGCAGCAGCTCTCACAGTCGATCTAGAGACTTACACCACCTTTCCACAGCTCTGCGACCAGTGCCCTAATTCTACCAGAAACCTCCTAAACACAGTCCCACGCTCAATACATGTACAGGAAAGGGGTAGACACACTTACTCAGGCGGGCATCTGGACCACCGGTTTTGCAGTTCCCATTGCCTGCAGTGGCAGAGAATGGGCCAAGGGGATGTTCCTGCATGTTGTCTTGCGGGGGTCCTCTGGAGGTTGCAGACGTGTAGACATGTGCAGCACCATTGCCATGCTTTTCCCTAGACTGTGTCCCAGGACTGCTGATCCTGGGACCAAGGGCGTGCATGTCCTTGGATGTCTGTGGATGAGCAGTGGGCTTGGCAGAGTGCTTTCCCCTCCCCTGACTATCTGTTCAAGATCTCTGTGGTAGGGGCACATGCACTGTGCCACCTGTGAAGCATCGTTTTGCTACCTCATCAAGAACATGGTCTTCATCTATTTGAAACGAATGCAGCACCACTTGTCAGTCCTCTCCCACTTGGCAGCAGGCTTGACATTAGCAGGGTGGTGCATCTGCTGGAGAAGCTTTTGCAGCAGTAGGAAAAGGAGGAAACAATAATTAAGAAGAGTAATAGAAGAGTGAAAAGGCTGATCAAGGGGTGGGGGAAAGAAGCAAGGAGTACTTTCTTTAGTAGTCTTAGAAAAATGACACAGTGGAGAAGCTGAAGAGCATAAGGCAACTTGCTGCCTTTGCTTTAGAGGAATGCATATGTGACATGGCTCTTTTTACACCATGAGATGCACTTCAGGATGTTTCAGGAGCTCTCGGTATTTGAAGAATCCTTTTGTGTTTAGCTTGCATTGAAAGACTCGACACTGGTGAGACCCAGTTGTTGTTCAACCCAGGAAGGTTTGAAATTCCTCTTTTGAGCTTTTGGAGAGGAATTTCTGTTGTAGTATCTTCTAAGAATAATTCTTTTGGCATGGACCAAAACTGCTTTTTGTAACTACTAGGGACAGCCAGGTGATTTACTTCAGAACTGCAGTACTTCTCCAAACCTGAATTGCTAATACAGATGTAGTATTTGTTTGATGGCTGGGTAAAAATAAAGCCGTGCTCACTGGGGGCTTGCATTTGATAGAAGTGTAATTTAAGCCCAGATCTTCAAAGCTGAAAGCCTACTTGAGTTTCTTATTGTATCACTTGGTCTCAAGTGATTTTATTACTGAAGTGTGAAATATAATAAAGTGATAGAGCAATCTTAAGCTTGAAGAAAAGCGGAGAAATAGCATGCTGGTAGGAAAATAGCAACTGTAAAATCTTGAGTGATTAAGTACGCTGTCTTAATGTAAACCATAAATGACAACACACTGTAACAAAGTGGAAGGTTTCATGGCTTTTAACAGTTCAATGAAATGTCACTACTCACTCTTCCCCCCCACCTTTTTAGAGAGTGATTGTGTGGATGTTTCGGGGTTTCCACATCAATCTTAAGGGCAATGTAAACCTGCTTTATGATGTTCCCTAGTCTTCCAAATAGGTGCAGATAAAGTGCTTTATTATATATTATGTAGTCCAAATGCTCCCTAGCTGTCATAAGGATGAGGGAAAAGGCACAAGGAAAATCGTAGATACCCATGTATTGTATTAGATTATTGTCTTCGGTGACATTAAACTCTCTAGGGTGGGGAGGCAAGTGATTACTGGGTTTGCATGGAAGACGTGGTTCCTGTCTGCAGCATGCTACATATATTCTGCTTTAAGTACAATTTACCCATGATAGGTTTCAATAAAAATGACTTAAGCACATGCAGATCTCTTCACTGTCTCCCTCCTACAGCCAGGTACCAAACTTCTATAGCTTGTATACAGGCACTGGGGGTCTTCTATTACAAAATTACTAATTATGATCTTTAAATGATGCCTTTTTCCTTTAGCAGGCAAACATTGCCTTTTTCATCATCATTAATAATTATAAAATAATAATAATGAATAGTAATACTCGTCCATTGTGTTTAACTACTTATTGCCTACTATCCACACTTACGCTGAATATAAAATTACTCATTAAATATTGTTTGCATTGCCTCTGGCCTTTTTGTTAACACTCTGCTTGAGAGTCTCGCAAGCAGCAAAGATAAGGATTAGTTTTCTCAGTTCTTTGAGATAAGGTGATATTAGCTCTGTGTTACAATGAGTTTGCAGATTTTAATGTTTTCACAGTAGGTAGAAAAGGAATTTACCTTTGGAAGTAGAGTTGTTATCCTTACTTACAATTACTTTCACCAATCCTGTCTAGAAATGACTGTAAATGCTGATGGTATGGCAATAAATTCTAGTTGTGTACATGTCCAGGCCTTGTTGATTTTTGTTGGGTTTTGATAGTGTATGTCAGTTTCATAGAGTATTGATAGGTATTAGTAGGCCTAGAATTAAAGATATTTTCTTTTGATGATCAGTAGCATTTAATATAAGAGGTCTGTTACAAATGAATCATATACATACCTTAGTTTGTGTGAGTTTTCAGCTTGGTATGGTGATGGCTTTGCCTTATAAACATATTCTCTCTTGCGGCTGAAAATAACAGCAGGGATTTATGCAATTCCATATAAATGGAAGCTACGCTGTTATCTTCTGATGTAAGCATGCATGCTTGGGGCTTCTACGTTTCCATTTTCTTAAATCCTCAGGCAGAGGTGTAGAAATATGCATAGTTTGATTGTGGATGAGCTGTGTATTTAATGCAAACACAGGTCAGATGCACCTGGGGCTTCTGGGTGTTACTGTCTCAGGTTGCTGAAAGTCTGAACATGTGTTCCCACTGAAGAGAGAAGCAGTCAGTAATGCTATATTATCCTCTTCAGTACATGTATCAGATAGGCTTCTAGGATTGGATGTAATTGGCCCAAGTTTTCTTGACTATGACCATAAAAGAAAGAGCCTAATGCCTACAAATCTTGGAAAATAACAGTGGTACTAGAATTTGAAATATTAAACTGGAATAAGGTAACTCTTTAAACAGAGAAAACTCAAATTTGATGAATAATATAAATGAAAGTAAAACATTTCAAAGAAAATCTACCCTCCTGAGTAGCTCAGCCTTGAAAAAGAGGGTCTTTCCCCCCTGTCCTGCTTGCACAATGTGTATTATTGGCCTATGCTGCTCCCATTGCTTGCATTATTTGCTGGGTCACTGAAAACATCTCCTACTGCTTCAGAAGCTTGGGTATTTTCTATTCTACAGGCAACATCCCCCTGCTGCTCTCAGGAGTTTGCCTCCCCTTTCCTTTCTCTCCAGTCTGATAGTACCTGGAGAAAAGAGTCTTTAACGAGACTAAATTTTGCTTGAAATCTTATCTATGTGATACAATGAATAAATAAGGAATAATGCAGTATAGGTAAGATATCAGGAATTCATATATAAGTAGATTCATGTTACACTGGTAGTGAAAGAAATTAGAATGTTTGAACTTTTTATGTTTATTGTAGTATTTTCTAGTGAATGGCAACCTCTTAAAGAAGAGTTTTACTACTGTAGATAAGAAGAGTTCCCCTGTAAGACAGAGCAACTCATTTGTTCTGAACTTAGATTTATATGTCTTCAGATATCCCAAGAACTTCCTAGAGAATTTAACATTTTGGTCTGATCACTAATGTAAAACTATTGCACGCAAAACTATTCTTGTTACGTCTGGCTGGCGTGTAACCACGCTTACGGAGTATTCCAGTTTACAACTTCCTGGGATGGTTCTACTTCCATCCTGTTTCCTATTAGCTTATTAGTCTACTTCGTTTCTTCTTAGTCTGCAGTTTTTCCTGTTAACCTATTAGCCTATGTTTTGTGCACAGTCACATGCAGTTTTACCTCTATTACTTATACACCTCTACACACTGATGTCTAATTGAAAAATTTAAAGGCAGTGAACAGGTTTAGATAGTGAGTGTTACACAACTGTCAGCCTCTGGAATTCGAGAAACCTCTGACAGCTGAGTTCATTCCATTGCTCTTGGGGAATTAGTAATTTGCTTTTCCTTCAGAAGATGCCACATTTCCATGCTGCAACAAGCAGGCTGGGACAAGTACAGAGTGCTTGTCACAGGCTCCCATGCTCACTCTAACAGAACTTACTATGTGGCAAATTGTCCGTCCTGGTGTACTAATGAAATATTCAATACTGGTTTTGTGACAGAATACTATATACTGTCAAGGTAATAAATATTTTCTCATGGTGATACAGATGGTTGACATTGCTGCTGATCTGTCACATTTCTTGAGTTCCAGTCCTTTGCTGCCATGCACAGTCTGTCTTCAGGCTTCTGCATACCAAAAATGAAAATCTGAAAGTGAGAGGAAAAATGGTTTCTTAAGTCTAAATGTATTTCTCTGAATTTGTATTTACATTTGATTCAGGGGATAAGATTTCTTGTCTCGGGTTCTGAGAAGTTTACAACACTGTAGCAGAGAAAATATTACTACATATTCATTTGTGTTTCAAACTTAGCTATTTAGGACAGAATTTGTGTTATGAAATGCCCTCTTTACATCCATTCTTAAAAGGTAAAATTGAGAAATATAAGCAGTTATCTGGATAAAAGAAAGAATGGTTAGAGTGTCATTTAAAAGTTTGCAAAACATTGCTATTGATTTTTTTCTCTAATGTGTAAAATAATTAGCTTCAGTCCATTCTCATTTTACAAAAAAAACCAGAGAGATGTATTACAGTGTTTTTTGCAAAAAGGAAATTGTCCTAAATTTATTGAATCTGGATTGTATCGTTCATCTACTTTCTGTATCATACTGGCTTGTTTCCTTAATGTCCTGTGTTTGTTGATTGTGTGAAAGTTGTTTTTTATGGGACAACAGCAGATCTGGAAAAACTTTTAATATGTTGTGAATGTTTTGTCAGTACAGGTCTCCAAGTTAGCTGATGTCATGGTCAGACATGGTGTGAAGAAAGGAGATCGTGTGGTCATCTACATGCCCATGATTCCACAGACAGTGTACTGTATGCTGGCTTGTGCAAGAATAGGAGCCATTCATAGCCTGATTTTTGGTGGATTTGCATCTAAAGAGCTTTCTGTTCGCATTGATCATGCAAAGGTAATACGTATTTGGAACAACAAACACCATTGCATTAGTTATTCATATAAATCAATGTCAAAAACCTTTTTTTCCAGAGAGGATAACATTTCTCCTTGTGTGGCACGCAGTCTCAATTTGTTTATAATACCTAACATTGAAATGTGAACAAAGTACTACATCTGTGCTGAGAGTGATACTTTTATAGCAGACATTGAGATACAAATTTTGACCTCTTTTAAAAAAGCATGAGTTTAACACGCTGCTGCTTAGAGCATACTTTCTTCTCCCATTTGTCAATCTTTGTCTACAAAGCATCACCTTAAAATGGGCTTTTCACCCAGCATTTTCCTCAAGTGTATGAGGAAAATGCTGCCAACCCTAAATGACTTCATTGGTTTACTTGATGTAAAAAAAGACACAGCAAGTCTTTTGCCAGGTTAGCTATAGAATTACTAGCTGCAGACCATGGCTAAATCCTAATTTACATTGCCTTTTTCTTTTTTCTTTAAAAGGCACATCTAAATATTTTGGATGGTTTTTGGTCCATCTGATGTGTAATGAAAGTGTAAGTAAAGAGGAGAAGCACATCCTCAATCTAAATTTCCAAACACACTCCAATTTTGCAATACTGCAAAGCTTTCTTGATAAGTGAATTGCACGCTACTGAGATTATCTTTAAGATATGTGTATGAGTAGCTGTGATGGATGGTATTCTGCTGAACTCAAAAGTTAATTGAAGCAGTCTCAAAAAGCCCTAAACTTTCTATTAGGCTTTTATGTGAATTGGTTTGGATGCTGCAGTGCAGGACCTAATGCTGGTAAGATGCATTAGAAAGAGTTAAAGATGTGGGATGGAAAGCTGGCTGTGAGATGCTCTTGTGGAAGAAAGGTCAAACTTCACATTTTATTGGAAGATCTAACTGAAAGAAATACCAAGCACTTTCTAGTGACTATGAAAAGGTACATATACTTCACCAGCTTACCTTAATTTATCTTGAATTTTAAATAGGTCTGGGAATGCTGCAAAGTCCTGCAGCTGATAATTTTTACTCTTGTCAGGTATTGGCAGTTACAGGTGCTCTGCGGTGAATTGTGAAGAAGTAATACAGACCGCGAGAACAGGCATTTCTTGTCATCTTTCTTTTCACCTGAATCTGGGAATATATAGTTCACAATATCGAAACAATGGATACTTTTGAAGGACATTAACTATATTTTAAGAAATTAACATGACATCTGTTTAAGCCCTTTATCTCAGTAAACTAGGAAAACCGAGAATACTTAAGAACAATATGGTTATATGCCTATTTGATAGGGTAGTTGCTATGCCTTCAACAACCAAATTTTCTCATGTTTTTTGAATCACAATAATAATATAACAATTCCAGGGGGCTTTTTAGATTTTAAGTCCAAACCCTGCAAAATAAAATGCAAGTAATGGAGTTTTTCAGACACGATTTTTGAAAGTGCTTCGCGAAAGCAGTGTTATGATTTGCAAGTGAACAACAATTCTTTGAAATACAAAATGTATGAGAGACCCAAGTTACTCAAAAATATCTGTTACTATCTTCCATTCCAGAAATACTGTATTCCTCCCTTATTTACAGTTGAGACATTTGGAGATTTTAATAAGGTTTCCTTGAAAAAATGAGCTAATATTTGTAATAATTTATTCTGAATAAGACATAGTTCCTGCACACAGGTATGGCTATATGAATATATGAATGGTTACCTGCACTTCTCATCATAAGATGATCCAACGTTTTGAGTGATTAGGCAGCAAGCTCAGCTGCTGATACATAAGATGCACAATTGCCTTATAATAGTTGCAGTCCTGTCTTGTCTTCTCTTGAAGCACTGTTTATTTTGGGAATTTGTATTGTAGATTAGAAGGCAGTATCTTGCCTTTTATTTTTAACTACTTGTATGATATGATTCAGGTCTCTGTCTTTAGAGCACTATATAATATCTGGCAGAACTAAATGTGCATGGCAATCTGACATGGATCGTCTAACCACAAAGCCAGAGCAGTACCAGCAGGTGCAGCAGAGCTATATAATGACTGCATAAACACCGGATTTCTTTAAAATGCGTGTCGCTTTTTTGAAGGAGGAGGGATGCACAACAGAAGTGCAGTAAGTTTGAGCATAGGCTTGTAATCAGTTGTGTGGCTGTGGCACAAAGAGAAAAGAGCTTTGTGTGTTGAACAGTGAGGGCCTGAGTGCTGGATCTCTCTGTAAACCTCTTAATGACACTCCTGACATTTTGTGCCCCAAAGGTGTCGGTTTTTGGTTTGTGCTTTCTGCAGCTTTATTAGTTGGCCCAATAAAATTTATTTATTGCTTTTTCTAGACTTTGCCTTGTACGCTGTTAGAGACTATAGAAGAATTTGTAGGAGGTGTCTTTACAACAGAATAAAATTATTGGTCTGGTACAATCGGGCCTTGCTTTATCTCATTTCTACTTCTTCATATTGTTTTTTTTCTACAGCTCAGTATTGCTGGCATTCCTTCACCAGCAAACCTTTGGATTTTTTTGGTTTTACTTCAAACTAGTTATATTTCTATCTAATCTTATTGTGCAGGACTACATAGAGCCACAGAAGAGGTGGGAAATGGGTGTATAAAAGCAATATGGGAGCAGAGATGCAGGGAAAATAATATCAGTAGACAGAGAGGTAAAATACTAGAAAACAGCAGTTAAAGCCAGTAATGGAGCTTTGATTTGCACAGAGTGATCCATGATGCTTCCAAATAGTAATCCTCACCTGGAAAATACATCACCTTAGCCAATTTAGTATTGGTTATTTTTAGACTTCCTTACTGCATACAAAGTAGTTGATGAGCAGAGGTGGCACTATTTACAAATGACTGTAAACCCGGCGTTGACAACAGTCTTTCATCTTAACAATCGAATAGAACTGTGTTAATATCTTACTTTAATTACGGTCTAATTTCAGGGTAGCCTCCAGATGAATTTTCAGTTTAACTGCATTGTATTGTGTCATCTTTTATTAAAATCAGTGCATCCCAAAAGAGAAAGATGACAAATGCTGAAATTTTAAAACTCATCTGAAATCTTTATTTTGAATACAAACTAATTAGCGAGCTTCCCTGAATGGCAGATTTGGACAGGAAACATGTTATTATTGCACAAGAAAACAATTTAATCTGTGCTTTCTGTGCTGAGTTTAATGCAGCCTTAACTGTGGCATTGTGGTTTGTGCCTATGTAATGAGATTTCTGCTAATGCATACAATTAGTAAACTAGTTTGATCAAACTGAGGGGCATAAGATAAATACACTTCTAAAACTCCAAAAGCAAGGACATTGAAGACTCATTCTTCTCCAATTAAAATGTGTTCTAACACAGTTTCTTTGGTGCTACCTTTTATTTCCTGAAATACAAGAAATAAAAATACTGATCTTGGAACCTGAGTCAAAATAGTTTGTATGCAGATTTCTTGACTTAGGAAATCTTACGTAAAACCTGAGGTTAATTTAATGACAAAGATGCTAAATCCACATTTGGAAATAGAAATTATTCTAAAAAACCCCAGAATAATGGAAATCTGATTTTTAGTGGTTTTGCATCCTGAATCCTGCAACCATCACTTGAAAGACTCTAGCTTTACTTCCCTCATGTGCCTTATGACTTTAGCTTATTCTCTTCCTGTATTTCTAGTTTCCTGTCATCTCTTGTTTGCCTTCTTCTTCCTCTTTCCCCTATTTTCCCTCCCGTGCCATTTAATTGCAGGCTGGAAAAGAGCCAGCAAAGTGCTATAGCTAGTTTTGAAATATGCCATTGTGTGCAGGCAGATAAGTAGAAAGCAGGCTGAACAGGACAGATAATTGCTGACATCACTGTACCACTTTTCCTTAATGGAGGCGCTAAGATGGAGATGGGTTTTTATCTCTGTTCATTAATTTTTGTGCAACTTACAAGAACTTAATTCTGTTGATTTCTTACTGAAATTTGGTTGAAAATGGTGAAAAGTGTCAGAAGTTGCTAGTGTGCTCCTGAACAAAAAACAGATGCATGGACAGCACGATCGCACAAGCTTGGTTTCCTTAGAAAACTGATCTAAACCCCTGTTTCTAATTATGTGAAGACAGATTTTATACATTGAGTGTCATTAATCAAAGAATTTCCTGGAAAACATGTTATTAGGTTACAGATATAAAATATATTGCAAATGTATATATTAACAATTTAACTTCTTTATTTTAGCCCAAACTTATTGTAACAGCAAGTTTTGGAGTAGAACCGAAAAGGAAAGTGGAATACATATCCCTCCTAGAAGGAGCACTGGCAAGGGTACAGAGCAAACCTGATAAAGTTCTCATTTACAAGCGACCTAATTTGGTGGGTGTACAGTTGTTGTGCTTTTATGTTGACTTTCAGATGTGTATGTAATGCACGTGCCTTTTCTCTTTTACAAGAAATTTTAAAATTTTTGGTGTATCTGTTTGTAGATTGTTCTTGAATTTTATAGGGGAACTTTATATTCATAAGATTTAAATAGTAAATAGAGCTAATGCAGCAGAGATTACTGTACAGAAAATTGAATAGTACATGTTTTTTGACCCACTTCTGTTTATTCCATCTGTTTTTCTTTCAACACTTTTCTATTTTTCAATGGGCAGGGCCATGTTCCTCTTGTCCCAGGTCGCGATCTTGACTGGGAAGAAGAGCTTGCAAAAGCACAGTGTTATAAATGTGTCTCCGTTCCCTCAGACCATCCACTTTATATTCTGTATACATCTGGAACAACAGGCTTGCCCAAGGTAAAGGACTATCTGTAGTCTAAGTGTCTGTGACCAACTTATTTGCAGTTCCACTTGAGAAGATATTTAATTAAAAAGGTTGAAAACGTTTGCCAGTGCTCAGTGCTATAAATGATAAACATTGCTAGAAATGGTTTAATCTCATTTATTCACGTTTCACTACTTTAAAGTCAGTGTCTAGGAATAAATCACGTTTGTTTATTTAAATAGTAGTATTATAAAGATAAACTGCATTTACTTCAAAATGTTTGTACATTTTGTCTACATTCTAGTCTTTGTTAGTTATCGTCTGAAAACTATTGTTATCTACGGCTTGGGTTGGGTTTTTTTGTTTCTTTTATTGTATGTTTGTTTGTTTGTTTTCCAAAATTACTGCTTCAGTGGGAATGCTAGCACAAGCATGTACTTGTCAGAACGAATCCTTTTCTTAAGTGAGGAGTATTGGAATTAAACAACTTTAGGTCTATTACTGCCAAAGACCCCAAAATTTCATTGGAGACAGGAATAGCATTACATCCTTCAAATGATCTTAAATGTTCAAATTTTCTCATTTAGGGTGTTGTCAGACCAACAGGTGGCTATGCAGTTATGCTGAACTGGACAATGTCAGCTGTATATGGACTCAAACCTGGTGAGGTAATTCTGTTTAAATGTCATGTAAATTTTTTTGAACCCCTCTTAAAAACTCCCCACTATATTTATGTTTTTATTTCGTTTTAGGTGTGGTGGGCAGCTTCTGATTTAGGCTGGGTTGTTGGTCATTCCTACATTTGCTATGGACCTCTCCTTCATGGGAATACTACAATTTTGTATGAGGTATGATCCATTCTAAAAAGCCAGCCTTTGAAAAGGCAGCATCTCCTCCCATTGATGATCCTGATGATCCTGTTTATGCCTGTCCATTCTTCATGCCATATATATTTAAATTGTGTGTATATCTTCAGTGTTTATACTCTTCTGGCTATTACAGTAATTCATAAGAAAAATTTACTTCACTATTCTTCAAACTTGTCTACTTCATCTGTGTGACTGGTGATGGTCAGTGGGGCAAGGAACTCCAAAACAGCAGACCTAGAAATGGCAGATTGTGGAGTGTACCTGTGTGGCTGAGGCTTCAGCCACAGGACATTGGACTACCTTTATTATGGACCTAGGAGACGATGTTGTGTTTTGCATGTCTGGAGATGACAAATTCTTACTGGATCTGAGTTGGAGGCAATTGGGAGCTCTGGCTGGAGGCAGAACTCTTAAGGAGACTTGTCTCTTCTTTCCTCCCCCTACCACTCAAGGCAGCTGAAGTCAAGACTCAGATGACATTCAGGGCTTGGTTCTTCTCCTTGGGGGATGAAACTCAGTGGGGTGGAGAAGAGACTAGTCTAATTAGAGTGGCCTGCTGCATCCTAACTTTGGTGCTCAAAAAAGCAATCACACTGCCTTACATTGTTATTTTTTCAGAAGTTATTGTTCTCTATTCACCAGGCAAGAAGATACAGTGTTGCTTGAACCATCTTCTTTATTCTTCAGGGCATGAATCCAGTATCCATTAGTGATAGTGAAAGACATTTTATGTAAAAGCACTGACATTGTTAGCTCTTAAGCGTGCTGAGACTTAGTTGCCTGCATTCACCTGATATTAAGAATTCTGGATAGATCCCAGCTTCTCCAATACTATGCAGAGTGAAGCCCACCTAGTAATTGTTCTGTCTTTTTCAACAGTCCTAGAGGCAGAAGTTGTTTTAGCTCTGCCATTGTGGCATGCTGATCACCTCTGTTGATTTGTAGTGGTAATTTGAAACGTGTGAATCATTAAAGAAAATCTAATGATAACTCATGGCAGAGCATACAAGAACTGCAAAAGTATAGTGAATGTACTGATACTGAGGGCTTGAAAAAGCATATGAAGCAAGCTTGGATGACATTGTGAATATAGCAGTTGTTAGAGCACCATCTGTACCCAGTGCTTGTGGAGTCAGCATGACATGGTGGAAACATACTGGTTTGCAGACCATCATAAGTGCGGAAGTTCTGCATAAGGAAATGTGTATTATGATTCAACTTTCTCCATCTTCCTGCTAATACACCATACAAGTGAAGATGACCATACTAGAACAGAAACGGATTGTTATTGTTTTCAGGAACAAGCATTATCAGAACAATCCTTTGGTGTTTGCACAACCAGTTAAGTTGGTATTGGTTGAGATGTGCTTCACTGTTACGAACTCATACGCTGCTGTTGCTGGGTAGCTGGTATTGGGATTGTGCCTGAATTTTGAGTAAATATGTTTCTGAATCCTGGGGATACTGAAGAAGCATGAACAGTTGTAGTAAGGTGAGGCTGCCTCTAAAATTGTTTGGATGCTGCTGCATCAAACACTACAGAACTGACTAGTGCTTCCTGCATCCTGTTTTGGAAGTTAGAAGTATACTTTACTGCTCAAAGTTCACTCTATAAACTTATAAGCAAGATTCTCACAAGCAGAAGATGCCTCTTGAAGCAGGTCAAGGATCCTCCAGTCCAGAAAAGCAATGGTCATTAGGGGTGTGTCTACATGATATTTCATATCACAGCAGTAGTGCAGTTCTGAAGTAAGTCCTCTGATTGTCCTTGCTTATTGATTTGGTTCACAGAGTGGTTTTAGACATATGAATGACATCTTTACAGAGAAAGCTAAGACAGAAGCTTTGCCACTTGGGATAAAAGGGTAGGATCCAATGAGCGGGACTGCACTGCTGTGAAGTTCTCCAGAGCAAATGAAAAGTACATGTGCCAACACAAAGCTTTGGCAAGAGCTCCCACCTTATTCTGAAGTACTTCTCATGCTATGCAAAAGGGCCAAATGCTATATGTGACTTCATATTTTCTAATGCCTGCCAGATGTCTGCTTGTTCTGACTTTCAGCTGCTCCTTTATTTCTTCCAAGCTTTGGCTTCTATCTTCTTCACCAGCCCTATTTCTTTTGCTGTTCCTTGTTTATCAACAACATCTTTCTTGTAACATGATTAAAATTATTCCTCTTTTCCTACTGCTACATTTTGCAATAGTGACAACTGTGGCTTTGGCCTCCCAGAATATTGAGCTAGGGGCAACATGGAGCTTGACAGCATGTGCTCTGAAAGGCCTAAAAGTTTCTCCAGCATATGCACTGCCCTGTTGCTAATGTCAAGCCTAGTGCCAAGTGGGAGAGGACTGACAAGTGGTGCTGCATTCATTTCAAGCAGATGAAAACCATCTTCTTGAAGAGGTGGGACAACCATGCTTCAGAGGTGGCATGGTGCGTGTGCCCCTACCACAGAGATCTTGAACAGATCATCAGGGGAGGGGAGAGCACTCCGCCAAGCCCACTGCTCATGAGGACATCCATGCCCTTGGTCCCAGGACCAACAGTCTGGGAAAAAAGTCCAGGGAAAAGCATGGCAATGGTGCTGCACATGTCTACATGCCTGCAATCCCTAGAGGACCCTTGCGAAACAACATGCAGGAACATCCCCTTGGCCCATTCTCTGCCACTGCAGGCAATGGGAACTGCAAAACCGGTGGTCCAGATGCCCACCTGAGTAAGTGTGTCTACCCCTTTCCTGTACATGTATTGAGCGTGGGACTGTGTTTAGGAGGTTTCTGGTAGAATTAGGGCACTGGTCGCAGAGCTATGGAAAGGTGGTGTAGGTCTCTGGGTTGACTGTGAGAGCTGCTGCACCTTGAGAGAGGATTCTCCAGGGGCCATGAGCTGTGAGGGAAGTTCTGTGGAGCAACAAGCTCTGTCAGAGACCACTTGCCCTGTCCCAGCTCTGCGTGTGTGCCAGGCACAGTCCTGGCAACTGCATATGCACCTTGAGAGAGGATTCCCCACGGGCCGTGCGCCGTGAAGGAAGTTCTGTGGAGCAACAAGCTCTGTCAGAGACCACTTGCCCTGTCCCAGCTCTGCGTGTGTGCCAGGCATAGTCCTGGCAACTGCATAAGCTGTGGACATGGCGTGCCTTGATAACATAGCCCTCTTAGGCTCCTGCACAAAAATCCAGCCACACTGTCTCTTCCTCTCCTCAAATGCAGTGTATAAAGGACCGGCCTTGTGGTGGTAGTGCTGCTGGTACTTCTGGCCACATGTCAGATCCTGTCCCTGCCCTGCAATCAGCTGCTTGTACAACAAATACCATTCAGGATGATTCCATTTCTTTGAAATGCAGTGGTTCAGGTAGTGGTTGTTGGCAATGTATGATCTCTTCCTCTGCCCCAAGTCACGCTCGGGAAAGGTCATAAAGGGAAGGGCACTGTGGGCTGGGGTAAGGCATAGTTGGGTTAGCCAGGTTTACCCAAAACAAATGGATTGAATGCAGCAAGGGAGTGTGTGAAGCACAGAGGTGTGGAGGAGGGGAAAACTGAGGACAGAGGCAAGTACTGGGAATCAGTTCCTTTTTAATCATTGCATAACATTTGCCAGATTGAAAGACATTGATGTCTGGTGGTATTCCTCCCAACCCACTCCATGCACTCGTGAATGCTCAGTGGATTGGTGACTGTCTTCAGTGAAGGAGCAGACAAAGTCCTGACACAAGTGCATTGCTGGATGCCCCACCTAGGACAAAGAGAGCAGAGAACTGAGCATACACGTACTGCAGAAGCTGTGCTCAGTGTTTCAGTCTGAAGGAAGATCTCAAAGATGTCCTCACAGATGGTTCAGACTAAGAGTGATAGCCTAAGTTTGGAAGGTACTGGAAACTTTTGCACAGTGTCTGTCCCACATAGCCCATTGTCTTTCAGATGACTAAATGTAGATTGGGGTTCCATTATGCATTCAGTAAAAGCACAATTAAATTAGGCCTGTGCTGCACCATTGTCAGAGTGTACTTTATGGTGTGGAGCGCAGGGGTATGCAGCATCTCTCATGATGCTCATTGGCATTGAGGACATCGTGAATGATCCTGTCCCTTCTTGGCAAGAAGGCACTGTCATATGTTTTAGTTCTGTGACCAGAAATATGGAATATAGGACTTAAGAGAAATTTTATAGTAGAGTCTACGGGTGATGTGTGAACTGACATGCTACTGTCATCTGCATGAAACAGATGAAAGGGACAGCATGACACTTTTAGAAGAGAAGTCCCTTCAGTCAAGGGAGCAAAGAGCTGTAGGATAGCTTTCCGTCAGAAAACTTTGAGCTGCATTTTTTGTCCAGTGAACAAGGCTAAGTCTAGTGTGAAATAAACCTCTAATAACATCTAATGGAAGAGGTAAAAAGCATTGGCATTAAATGGTTTGATCTACTAATCTGCTCTAATTCACCTCACTACTTGCTATGTAAACAAAGTCTGTGACGCCATATGTGCTCACATTCATGTTTGATGTTATTATTTCACATGGTACTAAGTTTATTTTTACCAGTGCATGTAGTAGGAAGAAGATTGATAATCTCTCATAGAACAGCAGGTTGTGCCTAGGTGACACCTGTGTATGTTGCTTTGTACAAAACCCTGTTGTTTATCATTTTTGTAACAGAAAAATGTAAAGTAAGAAACAAAATGCAATGTTTAAAAGCAAAGCAAATCTTGAGGTCTTAAAAATGTGTTTTGAAATGTGTTCTTTTCTTTGTGGTTAACTTTTAAAAGTGTTAACTTTTTCTTCTGTTCATGAAAAGACTGTGGGTAGTGTGTTAAGTTGTTCTATGAAATAGAAAATGAGCTTTTGTCAGGATGTTTTTCTTCTACATCATTTTGTGATCTGTAGGATCTGAGGCAGATAACTGTTTTTTAGCTTCTAGGCATTGGATTGATTTTTCAATAATCTCTCAGAAAAGTGGGTTTGTCAAACAAGTATTTTTTATT